ACATCCTTAAAATATTGTTATATTTTTCTCACACATATCATTTGTTTAGTCCTCCTGTTAATTACTAATAGGTGCCACTTTTAAATATTCTACTGTAATTTTGTTTAAATAGTAGCAATTATGTAACAGAAAAGTAAATAATATGAAATAACACATTCTTTCACTAAATATTCTTTTTTGTGTTTTAAATGTTAAAGTATCGCATATGCATATGATTATTTATTATATTTTTTTTTATATTTTGACTTTTTTGGTCTGGCATGATATGGATAGGTACTAGGTTGGCTCTAAAAAACTGATCACCCTAGTATTTGACCTGAAGCCCATGACTCATCTGGGCTGGAAATAAACTGATCATCTTACCTAATAATAATAAAAAACAATCATCTTACCTAAGAATTTTTTTATTCCCAGTTATTTACCATTACAATATGACTCTGTATTGTAATGTTTTTGTATCCCCCACTAGACAGTGAACATGCTGAGGAAAAGTATGGTAGTATATTTATCTTCATTCTCCCACTACCTAAAATAGTATCTTAACACATAACAGACTCACCCTAAATATTTTTATTAAATGGTCCTTGAGAAATTTTAAAGAGTTTTGTTTAAAATGTTAGTATGTTACCCATAGTAGAAATATTTTATTACGAAAGAGAGAAATAAGAGTGAGTTTTACAGCAGTACCATTTTGAATTAAAAGGTGAACATTCAGTTTGAAAAAAAATCAATTTTACAAACAGTTCTTTTGGAAATAATAATATAAAAACATGTTCCAAGGACAAGAAGGCAGTTCATACACAAAAAGGATAAAATTCATTCCATGTAAGTTAATAAGAGACCATATGTCATATTTGCAAATGAAATATTACAGATTTATTCTAGTTATACAAGGAAATGGAAACCACTTGTGTAAAGATAGTTTTCAGAATCAAGTACTAAATAAATTGCTGTCAAACTGATTAATATGATTAAAAGTTGGTATCTTTGAAATTTATTGCAAGAGCTACATGCAAAGACCTTTAAAAACTTACAAAATTAGGCAAAAGGCAGCTAACAATTTATATAAAGCTAAAAAGTTAATGAGTTGGAGTTTTTTCCCTTTAAAATATTATTTAGCTCTTTATGGCTTTTTATTCACTATATGAATGTTGTTTTTTTCTTTTATATCTTTAGAAAGAAAACTGTTACAAGCTTGCCCTCTGAGAGGGACACAAGATTCTTAAAAGATGTAAAAAGGAACAATATAATTTCAGTTTCAAGGATAAGTTATAATAATACAATAATTACCTTTTCTACCTGAAATAGTATATTACATTTAAATATTTATTTTAGCTAATTAAGTTGTTTGTTTTTTATATTATTTAAGTGCATTATGTAACTGAAGTCAAAAATATTTCAACGATTTTATCAAAATGCATTTTAAACAAATAGACTGAGTCTTCCTAATAAAGTCAATCTCATGATGAGTGAATTCACTTCAGAAAACATTATTTAGGTAAAATTACATTGAGGGAAGGATGAACTTAAGGACAATATGAAAAGTACCTCAAGACATTTTCCATCAGTTTTCTTCTGTATTTCTCCATTGGATAGGACTTAGAATATCAGTAAGACTCTTTTTTTAAATCCATTGCTTCAGAAATGTACAGATCATGGGTGCTATATGATTGCATATGAAACCAGATTTTATTTTCCTATTGAATTATCACTGTTAGACCATTTAACTGTTCTTATTTATTTACTGGTTTTGAACCCAAAGCAAAGTCTACTTCTTAAGGAAAATAAAACAGCAAACAGTAAATTCTGACATAAATCAAATTTATTGGATAGTTTAGTGAGAACTTTTTCATGAAAAATAAAAATTCCTATAATTTTATCTACCCTAGTTTAAAGAGATTCAAGAAGTGGTAGAATATCTCTGGCAGCATAAAATGGCTCCAAGTAGCCCCAGCATCTAGACACTCACTAATATGTGATTTCTAATTACCTTTGTAGTTTGTCACTGTTTAGCACAATGAAAGCTAATTGACCAGAAATGTTTGCTTAGATTATACTTAGTTATGGCTAAATTTTTACCGTTATTATTCTGGTTTCTTTGTGAATATCTCAACATTACTGCCTCATTAAACTTTAAATTAGATTTTGATAATAAGAGTATTTTATGAAATTTTTCAGACAACTGCAATATTCACACAGGAGCTACAGTACTCTTAAAGCCACTGTCATATTTTTCTAAATTTAATTCCTACTCATTCTTTACGGATTATTAAAAACAATGGCACTTTGATTTTAATTAAACACTTCATTTGAAAGCCATGACTAATAAATGTCAAATGCTAAAGGTGAACTTATGTTAAGTGGATATCAAAAGATTTTTCATAGCATGAAAGGAATTCAGGTCTGAGGCTTTTTAGTTTTACAATCACCAATAAGGAGTACAGACAAGAAAGGTAAAATTAACTAACTCAATCTAGATGCTTGTGTTACTTTGCTTTCATGTTGGGAATCAGTGAGCTCAACAATGGGTTCAATGGGTTAGGCATTCCTTAATTCTCTAAGCCTCAGAAGGCAATAAAAAAAAAAAAAATTAGGTTTGCTGCTTACATGTCCACCTTGCCCACAGGCATTATGTTTTAACAAAATATTGAAAATCAACATATGAATGTATTTCTTAAAGAAAATTCTTAAATTACACTGGTATTTTTTGAGTTGTTTTGTTTTGTTTTTACAAAATGCTTTTATAAAACAAGGTAATAAGATACAAGTTGGCATCACTAGAAAGCCTCCTTAAATAGCTTTACTTTAACTTCTAACATTTCATTTATGTGTTTATTCTTATTTTTCACAACGTGTGGAGTCTTTGGAAGACAGAATGAATGTTTATTTAAAAAGAGCTAATACTTTTAGCTAATACACGATGTAAGTCAATCAAGAAATAGATGTAACCACTTCTGATCAATTTGGCATTAATATTGAAGTTCTTCTGGTTGGCTTGGCTACCAAAGAACTGGATAGCAACTATTCAAAATCATTACAACATGGCTAGACTATAACATCCAAAGCAAAAGCCTCTTAAAATGTTATTTTGGGAATATATAAGTCAGTAACAGCTTCTACTAACACATAGAAAAACCCACCTAAAAGACATTGCATGCTTTATATAATATACTCAATTCTCAAAATGATCATACTTGAAGTAACTCAAATCTGTCTACATACGATCATGAACTGAAAAGCTCTATGAGTAATAAACGTAAGAAAAAAGAAGACATGGAAGGGCCCAAATGAAACCATAGAGATCCTAGCTCCTAATAATTATCTTTTCATCGTTATAATAACTGATGTGAGTCCCTAAAATCTTCGTTCAATTTTCTTGTAGACATAAATTCTGATTAAAACTGAGCCAAAACATTAGACAAGATTCTAAGAGTATACTGTCTTGGCCAACTTCCCATCTTCCACTAAGCCTGTTGCCTAATTGCCATTACCATCTGATAAAATGTACTTATTTTATAGTAAAATATAGGTTTGAGAGGCAGTAAAATGTGAAAAAAAAAAATGAATATATTCCACTGTTGTAAAAAAGAAAATAAAGGAAAATAAAAGTATAAGAGTTGATGAAGTTAGAATATTATGCTAGAAAATATATCTCTTTAAGCTCCCAATTTAATTTTTTCCCATATGAAGAAATATTTTCATTAGAATGTTGATAAAAAGAAAATACAAATTAAGAAATAAGCTGCTAACCAGTAATTTACAGGCTAGTTTTATTCTTGGATGGCAGTCCTAGATTTGTAGTTCTCATTCTAGATAAATAATTTTTTAAGCCTCAGAAAAAGATTAAACTGATGCATCATGTAAGCATTGGATTTTATGGTCAAAAAATCATTTTTCCCCAATGTACTGTAAAATTCAGAGAAATGCAGGCCAAAACTGTTTAATTTTTACTTATTTAGTTTTAATTACTTAGAAAGTAACAGAAATGGAGCTCAACAAATGCTAGGCAATATTATAACTGTTTACATAGTAACATAATTCTATAGTCATATTTTGAGTGGAAAATAACCTTAGAAATTAATTCAATCTTAAGGCCAAATTCAACCCTTCTCCTCCCTCTACGCTTTTCCAGGGCTCCTCCCCAATTTATTTCTTTGACCGTTTTAAAACACTTGAATCTTAATGGCTTTTTTAAGAGGTACAGTCTCTTTCCCCATAGGCCTACCAGTTTTTATTGTCTCACACCCAGCCACTTCATAAATCTGCATTACTTGCCTGACACTCCAAGGCACAGGAATTGGTCAACTTTCCCTTATTCAATCTAACTTCTTACATTTGAATGCAAGGGATGACTAAGAAAAGTTAAAAGATTCTTCTATATTCCTGAAGTGTGTTGGTGGTTATACTGGCTCTGCTCAAATGTTCCAGCTCTTGGTTCTGTGCTATTATTTTGTGCCTTTCCATTATCCACATCATCTAAAGTTTTATATATATTAAGCCATAATGTATGAACAGAAGTTCACAGTCTATGTATGGACACGTACTGAGAAGCGTTCCAAAAGGTCAACGAATCTATATGAACTTGAAATAAAGAAGTTATGCAAGCCATGTTGTATCAACTGCATTGTTGTTATTTTTAAATAAAAATCACTAGACTGACTTAAACCAAAAACAAGACTTAATTTGATTAGTTATAACATTCACAATTACAGACAGAGAATTGACACACACCAAGACAAGAATACTGCACCAATTTCACCAGCCACACAGAAATTAAAATATTTTTATAATGCTATCCAAAGAAAATGGGCTTAAACCCATGAAATAAAAGATGAATAAAAATTGGAATACATAAAACTTTGCCATAGAATAATGCTTGCATTCTTCTTTTTTCAAAATTAGCAGCTATTGGCACACTATAGAAATACATCAAGTCACCTTATTAAAAGTTGATTCAAGAATGAAAGTCTTACAATCTAATTAAAATAACTAGGTCTTACTTCAATTGAGCGTTCCTAGTGCAACTGGAGGGCTTCTTCAGGTTACAGGAGACTGACAGTCTGAACCCAGGGCTCTTCATCCAGGTGCCTAATAGTCAAAGCTCATTTCCTGTTCATAAATCAAAAACCAGAGTTAAATTGAGAGCTGCATGAGATAATTTATCTATTGTCTCTTGAATTTTGTTCTTTGATTAATGCTTCTTAGCATAACTTGATCAGTTCCTTTTATTGTAAGCAGACAGAAATTTTTCATTTCTTTTGGAAGTCAACAATGTATAGACTTTTTATTTTTAAAGCATACCATTTTATCTTAACAACAAATGTATACACAAATACACAAAACCTTTTCTCCCTTGCTTTCATTTTTCCATGTTTACATTTGCACCTTAATTCAGCAAGCATAAATTGCACACTTACTTTGTGCCACACAGTACTAAATACAATTAAAGATAAAGCAGGCCAAGCACAGTGGCTCACACCTGTAATCCAAGCATTTTGGGAGGCCAAGGCAGGAGAATTGCTTAAGCCCAGGGGTCTGAGACCTGCCTGGGGAATATAGTGGTGTTGGCAGTGGCAGCCCATTTGGAGAGGCTGCTGCCATGACACTGGCTTCAGTAGGGGAGATGTGGCCAGGGTTGCATGCTCCCTGGCCTGGCAGGAGTCAAGAACAGGTGGAATCTCCACCTTCTTTAGTTGGCAGGGCAGGACCGCTCCCCCCAGCCCCCCACACCACTTCCAGGCACAGCTGTACCTGCTGCCTATGCTTTGATTATGGAGCAAAGTTGAGGCTGAGCCTCACTGTTGCAACATTGTAGCAACCTAACTTAGTGTTCCCAAGCTTGGGGCAGCACTGACACACAATCACCCTGCTGCCTTGGCCCTCTCCAGACTTTGGGCACCAACAAGCACAGAAGGAAGCCTGAGAGGAGGCTGAGGGAAGCTCAGCATAGAACTGCAGGGAACCCACAGCACAAACAGCCTGGGTGACAAGGGAAGATAGGCTCCTGGGTGGAAAGAGACAGGTCCGCAGTAAAACTGCACCTTCAAGCCACGATTGCCTGAAGCCTGGTGGCTGGGCTGATGGACCAGAATAGGAAGTACAATGCTTTTTCCAGGCCCACGAAAGGCCGCCCATGAGCCAATCAGTATGCACTTCCTCTCCACTGAAGCCCATAAAAACCCCGGACTCAGGCAGCCTCAAGGAGACGACGGGACAACCTGCCTACAGAGAGGAACTCCAGGGTCTCCTCTCTGCTGAAAGCTGAAGAGACAATTGGACAACCAGCTGTGGAGAGAAGCTACCCACTCCAGGGTCTCCTCTCTGCTGACAGCTGAACACTTGTTGGGACACCCTGCCTTTGGAGAGGAGCTACCCAATGTGGGTCTTCTCCGAGCTGTTCTGTCACTCAATAAAACTCCTCTTCACCTCGCTCACCCTCAATTTGTCCTCATACCTCATTCTACCTGGACACAGGACAAGAACTCAGGACCCGCTGAATGGCAGGGGTAAAGGAGCTGTAACACTAACAGGGCTGAAGCATGCCCCTTCCTTGCCACATTGCAGGCAACAAAAAGGAAAGAAGAAAGGAGAGAAGAGCTGTGGCCCTCCTAGACCTACGAACTCCCTGAGCCAGGGCTGTGACACTCTATTTGGGGCTCTGAGGTTCCTGGTATCTCCAAGCTTCCAGGCATCACTGTGTTCCCTAGTGCCAGCCATGGAAGCTGCTTGCAGTACACCTGGTCCAGCTGCCGCCTCACAGGGAGCCAGCACCCATGCCAGTGCCTGGAGCTGCCCATCCCACTGCAGCCAGTGTGCATGGCCAGACCCCATGCTCGCTCACTCACATATCCCTCACCACTCTGTTCATCCTTGGCCGGCATGGGATCCAGGCCAGTAGTGTGAGCCAAGCGCAGCCTGCAAGGTCGAGTGGGCAGAACAAGCCCAGTGGGCCCAAGCAAAACTTGAGAAAAGGTGCTGCTGGCCACAGAGGTTTCCAAACAGAAAAGCATCACCGTAAGGATCCTGTAACCATGGGACCCTGTGTCTACAAAAAATAAAAATTAAAAATTAGCTGGGCATGATGGTGTATGCCTGTGGTCCCAGCTACTTGGGAGGCTGAGATGGTAGGATCACTTGAGCCTGTGAGGTGGAGGTTGCAGTGACCTGTGATTCCACCATTGCACACCAGCCTGGGTGACATAGTGAGATCCTGCTTCAAAAACAAACAAATAACAACAACAAAAAGATGAAACAGAAAATACATAACTGGAAAGGAAGTAACTTAGTATCTCTTTGGGAAAAAAGGATTAAACACAGGAAGAGATGTGTATTAGAAAGAGCATATCCAGGACTGAAAACTTTGTTCTTCATATCTGTATGGCCTTGGATAATTTCTGAATCTAAGTCTCAATTACTTCACCTCAAAATTAGAATGAAAACAGGAAACTTGCAGAACTACTGTGAGAATTAGAGACATGGTATGTAATGTGCCTCACACATTGCCCAGCATGTATTAGGTGCTCAATAAATGAGTGATATAATTATATACTATTTTAAGACATTGAGTCTTTTCCTTTTATATCTTCTAATGCCAAGATTGGTTATTCTACATTTCATATTGGCAGTGGCTGTGATACTAAGTAATAATGCTATGAATTATGAAGCTACTTATTTGTGCTTCACCGTCTTTATTGTAATATTTTATCTTAGTTTTGAGATACTTGAAAGCTATAAAGTGTTCTTATTCTCCTTTCAAAATTACTTAACCCTAAATAAGCTATTATTTCCTTTTATCGAGATTAACTTGTAGTATTGTATAAGCTTCTGACTAGAAAAAAATTCTTAACCTTCTATTAAGTTAACTTCCTCCTAGTTTTCACCCTCATTTCAGTATCCTCCATCTTCCTTAAGCTTTACATAAGAAATAATGTGTCATAAATTTCTCAACTACCAAAATACATAATAAAATAATAATTCTGAATTTTTGTCTTAAATTCCTTCTGCTTTTAGAGAAAAAGGTGCTTAAGGTAGATCTTGTAGATTCACCAATTTAGAAGTGCCATCTAACTCTCTTTTCTCACAAAGAAAGAACCTCTTGATAAGGATAACCTAACTAGGTTAAGACATGAATTAAATGAATCCTAGACTTACCTATCCTCAAATGTTATGGACCAGATGTTTGTGTTTTCCCAAAATTCATATGTTGAAGCCCTAATCTCCAATGTTACAATATTTGGAAATGGATCTTTTCACGATTAGTGATTTAAAAAGAAGAGACCAGAGAGCTTGCACACTCTCTCTCTCTGCCATATAAGAACTTAACAAGGAGGCCATCTGTAAGACAGCCCTTGAAAACTGGCTGGAACTTTGATCTTGGACTTCCCAGTATCCAGAACTGGGGGAAATACATTTCTGTTGCTTAATCCACCCAGTCTGTGGGATTTTGCTATAGCAGCTCAAGCTTCAAATAAAGTATTTAGTTCAAGAATGCTATTACCACATTAGTATGGACACACACAAGTGCATACCTGCCTACACACACACATAATTCAGGACATTTAATATTATCTCATTTGTGGAGAATAGAAGAAGTAAGGAATGAGGAGGATTGGAAGTCACTACTTAATTCTCAGCTTATATTTAAGTGTCTCAAGATTCTATTCATGGGTAAGGGTATGCAAGAAATTAATGATAATTTTAGTACAAATGTGGGTTTCTGCCCTCCCTCAACACTGAAAATGAAGAAGTGAAACCAACCCAGTAGTCCCATACACAGGTTTTGGGGATTTTTGGATAAATATAAAAATTGACTTTTCTGGTCTTAAAGCTTGAAGCTTACATTTGTTTTAGCTGAGTTTCTCCTTCAGGAAAGGACCCCCCACCAGACCTCTCAAAAAGTATCAAATAACTGAAACTCACCAGATCACCACATCCAGAAAGTGAGGCCAGACTCCTCATTCATCATGATTGCTCTTAACCCTCCCAAGTTCCTGTTTTGCCAGACATAGTGACATTTCTTCCCTGCTACATAAACCCCTAATTTTAGTAGGTCAGAGAGATGGATTTGAGACTGATCTCCCATTTCCTCAGCTGCAGCACCCCATTCAATCCTTCTTCCATGACAATACTTGTGTCAGTAATTGACTTTCTGTGTGGCAAGCAGCAGGACCCAAACCAAACCCCTGGTGTTTCGGTAACAGAAGGAGCCATAACAAAAAAGGCAGAGACATGTTCACAAAGAAGTCTTCAAGCTACAAATCACAAGAAATGCGAAGCCACATGGAACTCTTTTCCTAATCTTTCTCTTGGCATCTAACCGGATTAAAATGGCATATTGCCATCTGCATTCCTGCATGTGATTAAAAATCAAACCCTACAGATTGAGGTAGATAGATGAAAAGTCCTATGTCATCTTGTCTAACATAATGTCTTTGATCCTTGCTTTTCCTATCCCCACATTAAGGATTCTCTTTACTAAATGAAATGAACTCTAGTATCTTATATTGAAATGCATTGTTAAAGATGTGATTTTTTTTCCTCAGGTTGCAGAAAAACTTGCCTGAATTAGTTCTTTTAACTTTGTGGACCAAAAGGTCCACAAAGCATTACCTAAAATCAGAATACTGAGACTAGAAGAAACTTAATGATTATCTCACTTAAGTGTCACACCAACATTTACCACTAGCTCCCACTGGATGTTTTATTTCATAGTAAACTCCAACCAGATCATACATACAATTTTTAACAATAAAATCTCATAAATAAAAAGCCACTCAACTGTGGAAGATGTTTTTTCTCTATACAGAGACTTTTAAATGGTATATTCTCATATTAGAAGGACAAAATGGTATAATTCTTTGGAAATTGTCTTTAATTCTGAGAGTGGCTTAATATACACATATTAATACGTGTATTTTGGATTTTCCTAAGCACCACATATAAAAGAAAAACCCCAATGCAACACATGCTGTGTCCCACTTAGCAAAATTTTTGTGGGATTAATAGAATATTATTAATAGACATTTTTTATGGTTACCATTCTATTAACTTATACAGGATGGCTATCTCCTTTTTCTAAAACAGTCTTTTTCAAGACACTTTACTGATCA